AAGCTCCTTCTTGGTAAAAGCGTTTCTAAACTATTGAAAAAAAAAAAACGCACCTGAAGAACTATGCTACCCATGGTGCGCTACGAACAGATTTTATTTCGAAAGCCGATCGTATATCATCGATTATCGACCGTACCAGTCTATCTGGTGGCACTCGAATCCTTTTTTCAATCTGTGAATTCTGATTCTTTCGTTCTATTCCGACCTCGACACGCAGTATCGTTACTATCACCACCTCACGATCTAGCAATCTTATTCGCCATCTTCGTCCCTTTGTTTTTGATAGATGAGAAAATTCCATCTCGCGATTCCCAGAGATCCGAGCTAAAGCTCAGTCATTTCTCAGACGCGATTAGTCATCGAAGATTTCGATCGTGCTGCATTTTTTATTTTACTTTGGATATTTACCGGTATTTATTGTTTACCGATATTCCGAATACTCTTTAGGCGCGACATATCGTCGACATGGTGATTTCCGCCGGAATTCATCAACTTTAAAGTTTAATGCACATGTCACGCGCGCACGATTCCATTGGCGAAACGCTAGTAAGGCGAGTAAATGGGTTAATATCCAGGAAGTATGGCCGCGTTATCGATAACCTGACGCACGTGACAATTGCACGTCGCTGCGCGGCCGTTGCAGGTGATTCGAAGATGCTGCTGCGCGATAAAACCATGTTGTTCGCAATAAACTGCACCTGTCGGTGCGCCACACCGTCGTTATCTGTCGTTACCCCTCGCGCGCGATGTCTTTTTTATTTTTTCAAGATAACACTCGTATTTTTCACTCATACGCAATAAATTTTGATAATGTTTTATGATCTTTTGGTTTACCTCGTTTACACAAACGTGTTTTTGGCTTGTTGACTCCGTAACGTAACACAACACGCCTTCTGTGTTGCAAAATTTTGCGTAAACGGGGACACGGAAAATATAATTAATTAAGTTATCCCCGACGATGGATATGACTCAGCGGTAAAAGTCACGTTCGCCGCAAAAAACGATGTGCACGTCATGCAATTTTTCACATAAACGTGTGGTTTTGTTTTTGCGCGCGTTCGCATTTTGTGCAATAAAATATTTTTCTTTAATTCTCTGACTCGGAAGTTATTTCCTTTCTGCCCCGTGTCTCATCGGTCGTGCGTATTATTACATTACTATTTATAGAAACGTCAATAGACATCATTATAGCGACGCGATAACAACGGACGTTCTTTTCTCATTTGTTAGCGACAATTAGAGCAATGAGTTCCGAATGGCGTTGCATCGAAAGTAAGTTCGAGACGCGAGCAAGCACGCGGAGGAAGCACGTAGCTACTATTCTTTTTTTTTTTTTTTTTTGTCACCCGCGCGAGGAAGCCTCGGTGAAAAATTGCATCGTGTTACTTGCCATTCGATGACCTGAATGTAGGTCCCTCAGAATTACATGCATTGCGTGAGCATGGTATCGATCGCGTGCAATCGACAAAAAATCAAAATTAGTGCATGCATGTCTCGCGCGCGTCCTCCTTCGCACAAAAAAAAAAAAGAAGAACGTACCGCCGACTAATAAACTGTTTCCTGTTATCAAGAATTGGACAAAATATCAGTCGAATTAATCTCGTCGCTTCAAATTTGTTTTTTTTTTTTACTGTTTAACCCAGGAGTCGGTTAAACTTTAACCAAATCTATACATTAATTAAAAGTTAACATATTAAATAATACAAAAAATAAAAGTACTAAACAGCTTGAAATTTTTTATCTACTAATCAAACTTATTTTTAAAGCGACATACATTTGAATAATACATCTGTTCACAATTTTTATTTTTTTTCTTACAAGTTTTATTATTTTTTTTTTGTGCTGTCGCTTATCGATGTGTCGTCAATTACTTTAAACGACTGATGGCGCAGCAGGGTCAACCTTCTGTTTTCCATAGAATCTTCATTGTCTTTACCTTCGGCAAGGAACAAGGGACGGTTATCTCTTTGTAGCGATATCACATTCACACGATCGTTCTTTTAATTAAAAGCTGCGATCGAAGTCGCACTCTTTTCTCGAAGACCCAATTCGAGGGGGTACGTCGGTGATCGAGTTTGCCTTCTCCTCTGCGAGGAGTCTCCGCAGTTTATTTGAACGTGTCAACTTAGTCACATCACATGACGCATCCTTGTGTGCACTCGTGTGTGCGCACGTATAAACGATGAAGTCGAACACGCTCACCCGGTCGGATCAATAACTCCAGGAATGGGCACTTGCCGGCCGGGTAAGAACGGCTACGCGCGGAACAGCCTTGTTTCTGTTCTTCCGTCGGAAACGAAAACGGAAGTGGTCGGAGGTGCTTGGGAATTTTACCCGTACATATATTTTCCTCGCGGCATCTTTCGCGCAAAAATCCAAAATGTCGGCGTTTTCGCGGAAAACAACTCAAATGTTACTTTTTCTTGAAAAACGAGTAATAAAACTATCTTTTGCAAAAACGCGCAAGCAAGTAAAGTCTACAAAATATCGAATTAATTGTTCGCGAGATTTTGATTTTCGTGGAGAAAAAAGATGTGGTCGTAGAGAATCAGATGCGCATTCTGAAATAAATTGCTTTTCGCGGTTATTTTCGACAATCCGATATATTACTTCGGGCCACGTGTTCGTCGTAATAGAGTTCGCACGAAATTCCCATCGCGTACGTAGATTCTTATCCCAAGATAACAATGTACAGGAGTAGACGCCAAATGATCGAAGGTGGTTTCTGAGGAACTTTCTCGTTCTTTCGGAAGAATAAAATACAAATTGCATATAAATACAAATACGCGTGTTAATGGAAAGTGGCTAAGACGTCTGGAGGTTGCCGCAAGGTTAAACATTAAAATTCCGCACGCGGGTCTCGTTAAGTCTGTCTTTCATTTAGACGCAATATCATATATAGAAACAAACTCGGAGGGGACATTACACTTTTTATGTAAAAATACTGTTTCAAGAGGTTGTTTCGTGTCTGCGACCGACTTAATTACTCGGAACCCGTGCCGTGACCGGTCGCAAGCAATTCGAGAATCAACCCTCCGCGAGCTACGTGCCCATAAATTGAAAGTGAAATTCATAGCTACGTTTCGCGTGGAAGCTTTTATCTCGGTCAACACATTATATCCCAGGTTACACACAAAGGAAGGAAAAAAGAAACCAACTTTTGGCGTTGAGCGTATATTTACATTTTCTAACTATTATCTGCTCGCACTACGTCTTGGATCTATATTTTTGCGAAGTGACGTTTGTGTTTGGTTGTGAACGTTTTCTCTATTTTGTTGTTTCTATATTAAGTACTTTTGTACTTTTCACAGACGCATGTTTAAAAAAAGAAAAAACAAAACAAAATATACATTCTCTACATTTCGCATTGTCAAAGATAACAATCTCGTTAGCGGATGCTTGTTTTAGTTTTTGAAGTCGCGCTTTTCACGGCGGCTATCGCGTTGCGCATGTTTGCGCAAGAATTGCTGTTCTACGTCTTATTTGGAGAAAAAGGTCAATGCCGAATCCAAATGCAAATTCAAGACTGACGTGATTATTCTGTAATGTCGGAGCTCAATGATTAATGCGCGACGAAACCGGTAAATTGCAACGGTCCGTAGAAAAACTTCAATAGGACGAGCAGAATTGATGTCACTTTTGATCGTGTGTCTGACAATCCTCCCTCGTAATCGTCGGTTCCTGCTCCGAATGAACCGTTGCTTCTTCAATTATCGTTTTTAGAATTTTTTTATCTCGCAATAAAATTCGACTTCAGGCCGTCAAGGTTAATTCGTCGACGGTCTGCAATCTGTCTTGTTCCTTACAAGTTACAATCGTTCGCGTGCCTTTCTTCCTCCGTTTATATATATTCAACTCTCTCATCTACTTTTATCTTCCGCTTCTCTTCAAACCGGCGTAATGCGGCGCTTATGGTTGTACAATTTTCGTGATACACCATGCAGCACGAACGGCTCATTTGCAAAAATTACCGTTCAAAACTTTGCCGCTCGATCCTGACGTATTTAAACGAATTTGTAAACATACTTATTTTTATCACGACGGATTACAGCTATCGATTTTAAAAACACTTGAAGTTTTTGAGTAAATTCGCAAATTTAAAAAATACAGAGATAATATATATATATATAAATTGAGCTCAATAAATTTCTATTTTTTTTTCTCATAAAAAAATTAAGAAAAACTATCTTTTTTATATATTACAAAAGTAAATAATATAAAAATTTGTCTTTATAATTTCTTTTCGTACGTTTAAATCCAGAGCTTTTCGATGACACGTTGCTTTCTTTCATCCGTTACATACCGTTATTGCGATATTAAAATCGCAAAAATCTAATTGATCGTGCACACTTCTATCTATTCACTGGTAGAGTATTCGCACTTGTAAAACAGCGTTGGTAATTGTTGTCAGTCGGATTGCCGTAATCTCGTCGCCGGCACGTAATATCTACAGCACGTAGAGCGTGTGGTAATTTATAATTGAAGGTTACCGTCATTGCACGCATCGTAGCATCGTATCAAAGTAGACAGACACACACACACAGCTGTCGTTGTACTGTATTTCGGCTGTGAATTATTCATAGTATTCAAATGGAACTTTCTTGATAGTAGCCTGTATGAGCAAAGTACACGTGACTAAATATCATCTCACACATATTAAAAAAAAAGATGTTTTCAAATAACAAATTGATAAAATCTAAGCGACATATATATAGAGAGAACGTGCTACTATGAATTTTACCATCTTTGTCTCACTGAAGCTTTTTCATCGTCAAAATAAATGATCACATTTGTAATACACATTATTAGAGATATTGCGCAATTTTTGATATAAACAATATTATTACGTAAAATAGATTTTTTCTACAATTTATTTTATTCGCAATCTCTTGCTGCTTTTACATCACGTGTAGATCGTAACGCGCAATGTCTTAAGCGGTAATCACGTATGTAATACGGTAGTTCACACGTCGTCACATGTAAAAAGGTAGTTCTCTCGTCGTTAACGTATTATTTGACACGCTGTGCGCCATTCATTCACGTAGGAGTGGTAATGATCACTTGGTTCGTGCGCAGCAAGCGCACCTTTAACAAAGAGCCGTTTGGTCACATGTTTGCGCAACAGGTTTACGGGGAATCGTATTGTCCAAGGCAAGAGAGAGAGAGAGAAAGAGAGAGAGAGAGTCTTGAGGTATATCCCATAAGGGTACTTGACAGAAATCAATATGGACTCGCAGGGAAGCGCGAACAGTATGGCCGAACCTGCTTCGGGCCACGGAGAAGCTATGGTAAGCAACGACGAGATAGACACGCTCAAATGATCATTAGGGATTATGAATACTTAAAAAATCTGTTTTTAATTAAATTACTTCTATTTACTTTGAGATAACTGAGATTCTAAGAAAATCAAAACTCGTTCGTCAAGATCGAGACATTATACAACAACTTGTCCGAGGGCTTTACCCGCGACATAATATAACACACACACACACACACACTCACAAAGCAAATCGCGAATGGAAGCGGACTCGCCGAGTCATTCGTGGCTCGATCCCATAACGAGCCGAAAGTAAAACGGTGGCAGGCACCGGTGGAAAACGGCGAGACGTCACCGACCCGCATTATCAAAAGATCGATAAACTCAGGGCCACTATCACGAATTTCTGACTCTCCCGTCAGCCTCTTCAGTTTTCTTCTCTCTCGTTTACACACACCATTTTCTACATTGTTATCGTCGGATGAAATACAGCGTTGTCGTGTGTGGATTAGCTCGCATCACGAAATGTCATGTTAAGTAAATTAACTAAATTGAACTTACAAATAGGATGATGATGGGCAAAATAACGTTCGTCTTGTTCGCTCCCTCGTTGTTCGTCCAGACGCGTTGTTCAAAATGACGAACGAACGAGAAGGTCTCGACCCGCGCGCGTCGGAAGTTAGCGGCTAGGATGACGCAGAAAATTAAGCGGAGAAACTGTCTGCGGGGACTATGCGGCTCGCAATTTGAATCACGACACGATGGGAAAGATCGATGGGGCTAAGGTCAGGGTTAATACTGTCGATCGCAATTTGCCCCCGTTTGCGCCAATAACCTTCGGTTTCGTTTGTTCATGTGCCAATATCGTTTGAGATTAGAAATCGGATTTTAATCGTTCGCAAACGATTTCGGCGCCTCGTAAAAACCCGTGCGCGATATTATTGCACATCCCGGAACGTGTCATCAAGATATGTATTGAAACACTACAATGTTATTCGTGTAACAAACTTTTTACAACAAAGAAAACGCAATCTCTATTTTTAACACGTTCGCGCGAATGTTATAAACACTCGAATGTGAACGGTGCAATATTGTTTTATAAAGACTGTAATCAATACAAAATAAAAGTTTATTATAAGGAAAATGCGTAAAACACACACTTTATTTCAACAAATACAATAGCAAATCATGTTGCGCGTTTTTTTCGCGCAAGTATACGCGACACGAGCTGTTCTTCCGCAGGTGAAATCGAACGCTCCCTTACCACCGCAAGGCTTTCAGGCGCGACCGCAAGGTCCACCTCCGTCTCCCAGAAATTCGATAAATAATGGTCCCGTAGGCGCGCCCCGGCCAGGACAGCTTCTACGCCGATTGGACAGTCGTTCTTCTCTTGGTCCGCCACCGGCTTCCGGTCAGTTCGTACAGCTCAGGCCTTACGGTCCGCCGAGACCACCCGGAGGCTCGTTTCCACCAAGACCACCTCAACCCGGTCAGCTGCCTCCGCAGAATTCGCCTCATTCCCAGAATCAGCGTTTCGCGTATTCCCCTGGGATTCGAGGACCTCCTCCTCCGCAAGGAGGTCAGCGGCCACCTTTTGTTCCTAACCAACAGACTTATCAGCAACAACAACAACAACAACAGCAGCAGCAGCAGCAGCAGCAACGAAGCAGCAACGATCCCCGATTTCAGCGACCGGAAATCTTGCCCCAGAACGGGCCGCAGCGACCCAGTCAAGAATCAGTTTTTACAAGACAGCTGTCGAGAAATGACTCGTTGTTGAATTTACAGCGTCAGTACCTTCTGTCGAACGAGGAGCTCAAACAGCCGACGCGACCCCGTATCGTCGTAGAAAAGATGGCGGATATAAACGAGGGCAGCAACGCCAACGTTGATAAACCCGAGGGTTATCTGCAGCCGAAGAAGTCCGACTTGCGCGAGAACAGCGAGAACGACGACGACGACGACGTCGTGATGGATGGCGACAAGTCGCCGCGACGCAACGGCGACGGCGCGGCCGAAGGATTGATGAACGGTTCGAAGTCGCCCTTGACGCCGAAAAAGTTCGATGACAAATCTTCTGCGAGTCGACCGGGAACGGCTACGATTGAAGACGCGAGCAAATCCATAACTCGACCGGGAACAGCGACTATCGGGAATAAAGTTGAAGACAACGCGCCCTCAAGACCGATATCCGCGAACATCGATGACAAAGCGCCGAATAAAGCCGCTGACAATTCGGCCCCGGCTATTTCTCAAAGCAGACCTCCTTCTGCTGTAAGCGAACATAAGGACGACAAGAAGGAGGAAAATCTCGTCAGCAGACCGCCGTCAAGCAAAGAGGGTGACATTAAGGATCTGGCGGAAGAAGATTCCGCGATGAAAGACTCTAACAACGATAAAACATCCCGTCCGCCGAGCAGCGCGTCGCTCGATAAAGATAGATACAGTTTGAAGACTCCCACCAAGTCGTCGGACAATTCGCGGTCAGTTACTCCGTCTCATCTTGAAGCGTCTCAGAACGCGGAACAGGAACCGAAGACACCGTCCAAGAGCCCGGACAAGTCGCGTTCCGTCACTCCGGCGTCCGGAGGACCGGAGACCGAAAAGTCACGATCGAGCACTCCGGGCAGATTGGAGCCTGAAAACGCGGAGCAGGAATCGAAGTCGTCCGATAAATCACGCGCGAGTACTCCGGCCAGTTTGGCGTCTCCAAACGCGGAGAGAGAAACTCTGGAAACACCGTCGAAGACGCCCGACAAGTCGCGCGCGAGCACGCCCGCCGCACCGGAAGCGAGTAACGAGGTTTCTGCCGAGCCGGAGAAACCGTCCGAGAATCCTCATCGCGACAAATCCAACGAAGACACTCTTCAAGTGAAAGATCCGAGCAGACCGGCGTCGTCGTTGGGTTCGGCCGACTCGACGGTCGAGAAAGCGAGCAAATCGCCCAAGTCGCCGAGATCGCCAACGCCCGAAAACCAAAACAAACTGTCAGCACCGGGATCGGCGGGCGCTTCATCAACATCGCCTGACGATAACGTGAAGGGCTTCGATAACGGACAGCAGAGATCGTTGTCTCCCGGCGACGGTTCTCGATCGCCGAGCTCTCCGAAATCACCCGTTGGCAGCGCGAAGAGCGAGAGAGCGGAGGGTGAGAAGAAGTCCGCGTCCTTCGCTGAAGACTCGAGTTGCGCTAAGAAAACGGTGGAAATAGCGGACGACGCGTCGACGGAGACGTCGAGGACGCCTGTCACATCCGCAGCTAAAACTTCACGCGCGCAAACGCCAACGAAACTAGATGACAAGGCTGAGAAGAAGTCCACGAAAAAGAAAGGTCTTATTTGCGCACTCGCACTCGCGGAATGAAACTTTAAGACTTTAAATTTTGTCGAAGTTTCATCGTTTCAGACACCTTCGTGTTTTTTATTTAAAAAGAAAAAACATTGGGACAACCTCCTTCGCAAAAAAAAAACTTATAAGTTTGTTGCAAAATAAAGTTTATCACGCACAGTTGAATTTTTATTACACGTCTGTATTTACATCACGCGCGAATTTTATTTGATTTTTTTTTTTTTGAGACTTTGCTTCGATGCGACGCAGTTTTGACGTTCGCATTTGACTTCACCGATTTCGACAATCGTACTGACATAGTCTTTCTCTTTTTTTTTTTCACAGAGGTCCAAAATGGCAGCGCCAGCGATCAAGCAAATGCGGTAAATATTTTACATTATATTCATGTTCGACTTTCTTCATTTCTTATGCATTGTAGAGCATTAAAAGTATGGCGTTATATTTCTTTTTCGGCGAAATGAAATGAAAACGAAAAATAGGCGACTACGAACGGAGTCGCGGAATCGCCAACCAAAAAATCTCCCTCTAAGTCTAAAGAGAGCGACAAGCGATCGACCGCGGGGTCGCCTACGAAATCGCCTAGCAAATCCGCTAAATCGCTACCACGAACTCCCGACACGCCTTCGTCAACTTCTCAGGAGAAAAAGAGTAAGTAGTTTTTCATCGATTTACAGAGAGCGCAGATCGATCTCTTCATGTTTCGCGCGAGCTATATCATGATTCGCGTCGTCACAACGCTTGACAAATCATCTTTGATGTAACATACTAGTTTTTTATATAAATTATAATCGCATCTCTGTTTTACATCGCTGAGAAATCGGAGAAAGAATTAGAGTAAGAATAATATTAAAAAAAAAAAAAAAAAAAAAAAAAAACATTACTTTTTTTTTTTTTTTATTTATATTTAATTACCTCGGCGGCGATCGAGGCGTACAGTAAATTGTCAAAAGAATACAAGACTTAAAACCAATAATGACAAAAAGTTCTATTCAGTCTTAAAAAAAAAAAAAAAAAAAAAAAAAACATTACATCGACGAAAGATCCTGTTTATCTAACGTGTTTCTTATTTTTTGCACAATTAAACACAGAAGTGCCGATGAACAAAGTTCAAGTCGGCGCCGCACCCTCGCCGAATCTGAAGACTGTGCGATCGAAGATCGGTTCCCTAGAAAATGCGAGTTACAAACCGGGTGGCGGTAAAGTGAAGATAGAAAATAGAAAGCTGGACTTCAGCAAGGCGCAACCGAAGATCGCCGCGAAAAACGAGAAATACACGCCTAGCGGTGGCGACAAAAAGGTTTTGATTTCTCTCTCATTCTCAATCTATCAATATTGAATTCAACAAATAGCGACGCAATATTCCACGTTTCTTAGAACGTTTTCTCTGCGTTTTTGTTTTTTTTTCAAGACTGTTTAAAATTTTGTCTCGTCCAACCACAGATTTCCCAAGTGAAGCTCCAGTGGAACGCCAAGCCCAAAGTGGGTTCGTTGGAGAACGCGACTTACAAGCCGGGCGGCGGCGATAAGAAGATCGAAACGGTAAAACTCGACTTCAAGGACAAGGCAAAATCAAAAGTCGGATCCAAAGACAACGCGAAGCACGTTCCCGGTGGTGGCAGCGTTAAGGTAAGACCTAGCCGGAGTACTCGATTGCGTATCTTGCAACGTGTAGTTCAAAACCTATTACTGAGTATGACCAAAGTTGTATAACCAAATTTTTTAATTGTTTACTCAGTTGTTTGGTCTCTTTTCCCTGATACATTTTTGTGCGAAAAACATATAACGAGATTATTCTTAGTTAATTGCAATCTCTTAGAGTTCGAGGCATTTCCACACAATTTTTAACGACGCTTCAATTAAATATAGTACTTATTTAGCATGATTACGTCACTTTTTGCATCGCATTCAACCTTAAAATTCTTAAAAAAAAACATAATTATTAAAAATCTAAACGCATGCAATTACCACGTATGCATTTACATATTGGTAGCATCCTATTGTTAATGTAATATTCTTTAAACGAAGGAGCGCGCAGTGCTATTTAGTTACATATCTTTACTGCTAAAAACGTTATTGCATAATCGTTTTTTATACACATATATTCTTTTTTTTTCTCTCTACACACAATTTATCCTTTCATAATTTACATGACTGATTTAGCGACAGAAGCTTGACTGGAACACAAAGTTTGTTGTAAATTTAACGCTCGCTTCGTTCATTCTAAACTTGTTCATGACAATTTTTCACAAAGTACTGCATATTCATTCAAAATTTCATCGAATGAATTGCATGCGGAATGCCAGCATAAATAATATACAGAAATTTATAAGTCAAAGTGAAATTATTTTTTATATATTTTACGTAATAGAAAAAATATAATAATTTAGCAAACAAAACTCTCTTAAAGTAAAATTACAATTCCAAGCTACGTGAACGACTCATCGAACTATGGAACATTTAATTTTACTTCATCTCGTGTTTGTAGACATAAATAAAGATAGACATAGCGACGACTCATCAAGTATAGGTGCATCATCTCCAGTGTTTAGTAGAGTGTTTCGAATCGAAAAAAAAAAAAAAAAAAAACATTGCCATTGGACGCTGTAAAGCCCAATTGTGCAAGACCGATTTGTACGCATGTGTCGTCACTCTCTTGTCATTATTAACAAGCCATTGTTGTTTCTTGGTGTTCAGTCTGCGACTCCACCTAAGACACCGCAGGAAACGAAGAACGACGTAAGTACGCCATACAGCTAACAAGATAGCGTGTGAATTAAGCACGTGTCGCTTTCATTCTTTTTACTTCATTGCCTCTCTCCTCTTTCTTTCTTTTTTTTCTCTCTTTCTCTCTTCACCTGTCCGGTCTGGTCGTCGTCGTCGTCGTCGTCTGTTGTGTGACATCGTTGTGTGAGATTTCAAAATTAATTCCTCGTATTCCGCTTGTAAAAATCGTGGACGTAAAATTGACGGCGCAGAAAAGACTCCGCAATACACATTCGACCGCACATGTATATATCGTTGTGTACATCAATAACCCGCTCCGGAAATCGCTATTTATAATCAGCGCGCATGATAGATCGACCGAGTCTCTCTCTTTCTACCTCCACGATTTATACGAGATACGAAAATGCGCTTATCATCACTTTGCGATCGGTAAAGTTCTATCTATATCGCCGGATATAGACCCGTAAGTAAAACCCGTACGTTAAGTGGAAAATTTCAGGCATGTTTCTGCATGCTCTTTTAAATTTTTATTTAGATTCTTGAAATAGAGACAGTTGTTGCAGCTTTCTGTTATCGCGTTTTTTGTAAACTGCTCGTAATTTCTTTAGTGATTTAAATAGATACAAATTTATCTTCTTATTGTCACGTGTTTGATTGTGTGGGAAGAAAATAGAGAGCAATTTTTTCTCCTCTTCACAAGTCTTTGTTTCCACTGTTTTATTCTCTAGCTGCTTATCTCAACGGGATCTTATCAACGCCCGATTGATCGATACAAGTTGTTCCTTTTTATTTCCAGATCCCGATGCAAAAGATAGATATCAAGGCCGAAAGCAAGATCGGCTCGTTGGATAACGTGAAGCACAAGCCGGGCGGTGGCGACAAAAAGATCTTTAACGACACAGCCTATCTTCGGCAGACGAGTTCCAACGTGGAGAGCTTGAACGGCAGCGGGTCCCAGGTACGTTACGCGGAGAGGAAGTCTTGATAATCACGAAATTTTTTCTGATTTACTTTTTGACTGCGCGCGGCAGACGAGCTCTGACGCGCGTGTTCTTTTCACGATCCTCGCAGAGAGAAATATATCGTGATTACGATAAAGTTTTTTTTTTTTTTGGTGAGAACTCCTCTCGAAATTTGTTCCGCAAATCTAACATCCGCACCTAGAAACACGCGTCGCATGCGTCTTTGCAAAATGCATATACAGCACATTGTGGCTTGCACCTGATACTTATACGTGTACGTGTATTAAAACGATTAAGATGTACAAATGAACCAAATATTCGCGAAACGTATCGTGTCCGCAATTGGTCCACCTTGAAACATATCAAATTTTATTTTTCAAAATTGCCGATCAATATGGCTACGAGTTAAACAATTGTTTATTTTAAAATAACGCTTTTTTCTACTCTTCTCCTTTATATACTTGTAAAAAGTTCCTTTCAAGTCACTCTCCACCTGATTTGATATTTCTGCTGGTTGTTACCTTCGCAAGAATGCGCCTGTTGTCACGATTACGAAAACTGTGCGCACTCTAATCAGGATATAAGCCGCCACACAAGACTGAACCAAAAGTGTTCTTTTATGTTGTGAAAATTCAGTGTTTTACAAAAAAAGAGACAAAAAAAAACAATCAAAGTATTCGGAACACACCGTTTTGATCATTTTTCAATGGAATGCTGCACAATGTCGATGGGATTGTGAAAAAACAGTGAAAAGAACATTTATTTGTAGTCTCAGTTTTACTCTCGCGCGCAGGGATGCTGCACAGGCTTTAATCCTGATATCGTGTCTTGTGCCCGCAGAGCCCCGTGCCCTCCGGCGCGATCACCGACTCCGGCAAGAACGGCCTGCCAGCCTCGGACGAGAACCTGAACCAGGAATGCTAGGTCACGAAATGTCGGCCGATAGACCCGCTTTAACTATATCATTTGCATATGATTAATCACGATTTTACCTATCCAACACCCCTCCCCTTTCGGAGAACAAACGAGCGCGCGCGCACGATCGAGGGCGATGTCGAGACACGGACACGACGACGCACGGAAGAAAAGAAAAAGAAAATAAAACAAAGCAAAGGATTATTCGATCGATATCGTCACGTTAACGCAAATTCGCGCGACGAGCGAGTTTTTAATTAATGGAACGAAGTAGCGCACTCGATTATCGCGTTAATTTGTCGTCAATGAATGAAACACGAGAAGTATATACGAGTGTCTATCTCCTGCATTTTGTAGCATTTTTTTACTTATAGTTTTATGCGAAACCATCACGAGCAAACTGTGTCACACAACGTACACGTAATCGCGATGCGGGGAAAGGAACAAAAAAAGTATTTCACTTTGTCATTAATATACGCAAAAGAATGTGTGAGAAAAAAAAAATTCTCGCGCGCATAAAACCTTTTTATCTTTTTAAGCGATAGCTTTTTTCTACCGGAAACTATATATGCATTGTCTTCTCATGTCAAACTTCTCTTCGCGATTTTTCACAGAGCGTCGATATCCTTCGCTACTCGCTAAATATTTGCAAGTTATCGATTTTTGATACACACCGTGCCATAATGTCAATAAAGCGCCGTCAATCTCTCGCGATGCACCATTTATCGCTTAAGAAGTTAAATCGATAGTGCGCGTAAAGATAACATCGTCGTATGAAAAGAGAACCGGATTGCAAATGCGCTCACATTTTTGTCACATTTTCGCAAACCGTCGCACATCGCTCGTCTCCGACTGCAATTAATACATTGTGTCCTGTTAATTTGCGAGATGGCTAGTCTTTTATTATTATTTACGCGAAAAAAGAGGTATTGTCGTATATACGCGAAAGCGCATCGATCACACAACCGTGCGTCGTAGTACGCGGAGAAAATTACGTCATCTCTCGAGAGGGGAAAGGGGGGAGGGGAACGAATAGACGTTAGACAAACGCAAGGAAGCGCGCGTACATTAATTTTCGCGCGAGGAGGTCACGACACCCGATTGTTAATCCTCGAACGTATAGTGCGAACGTACGTTGCACTTTCGTCGTCGACTTCGAGCATCATTTCGCGCAACGTTTCCGAAAAAAAAATAAAAATATTGAATCGAACTTATACGACGGTGCGTAGTTACCGTTCTCACATAAATATAATATCTTCGTTTGTAACGTGGTCGGTCTGACGATTTCTGATGAAAAAAAAACCGGATAGGAGGGAAGAGAAGGGAATCGCGCATCCACAGCAATCTCGATCGACATAGACGGAGAATCATCGAAGAAGCCGGTTGCGCCAACGTTTTGATTAGTCGCGAACGATAACAGTAGTTTTTTCTGCTCTATCTACATTGCAATCACGATATAGAAAGAAAGAAAGAGAGAGAGAGAGAGAGAGACAGAGAGAAGATCGCGAAGTCGCTACAGAACTTGGGAGGAATTACTATAGTTAGACTAGCAACGCGAAATAAAGGAGTAAGTTTCGGGTGGAGGGAAAAGTGCCAGACAACACAGCCGTGTGTATCGCGCAGGTGAATCGCGACGCGTTCAAAACACCATCGAGAGATACCTGTTAGATAGATCGGAGTTGTTACAGATCGCGCTCCTAGACGACAAGATATATACGAGAGATCTTTGTGTGTAAACCGTTTATTGTAGATACGTAACGAGATATATCCGCGTTGCACCTTGCGAGTAACGTATCGCTCTGGTGCAAAAACAACGGGAACGATGATAATGATGATGATGATGATGATGAGGGGAGCTTGTAGACGGAAAGGAGAGATCGATGATGAAAGATGATGTCCGAGTCGTTTTGTGTGCGACCACGCCAAAAATAAAAAAAAAAAAAATCTCTCACTTACGTCACACTATATTTACCTTAGGTACCTCGTGCAATTTACACGTCGCTAGAAGAGAGACTATGTAACACATTATTTACACTGTATTGCTTCCACATGAATTCTCAAGATTATATCTAAGAGATATGTCTTTGATTCAAAAACGATTGATTAACATATTGCGATATATTTCACGGAGACAGAGTGAATTATATATATATATATACGTTAGATCCCCAAGTAATTGTCACCAAGTTACCACTTCGTACGAACGCAATAGTGTAACGATCGTCCGGCGATTGTCCTGAATTAGGACCGTCGGAGAGGCATTATAATAATATTTTTGTTTTTAAATTTACACTCACTCTCTTTTCATCTCTTCTCCCCCTCCTCCCTATCACATACACACCCGAACGCATCCTTCCCCAACTTTGTCGTTGACGAATTAATCTGCGTTGTCCCTATTTTTATAAAAATTTGCATGTAGAACGCATTTGCGCGTAGCTTTGTTATTAAAAAAAAAAAAAATTATCTCCCGAACTTAAAATTAAAAATACAATAATATACACGCGATGGGTAACATCCAGGAGCTTTAAGATTTTTTTAGTCGCAATATTTTACGGTTTATTAGCATTTAATTTTTTAAGTAATCTGCGCAACGCTATGTAAAAGTGACCTTCTCTTGCAAAACCGCATTAATTAAAAGGAACTGACACAGCTTTTTTTTTTACTTATGTAGAGTTCAAGCAGCATTTAATGATTGTTGTAACAGAGAAAAAAAAATTATACAACGCAATGTAGTTTCTTTCTTTTCATGCTAAATTCGGGATATATAATAAATTCAGATTTAATTGTTATTCAGTTTTGAGAACACTGCGAATTTAACTTCGCTGACTGAAGACCTGTCAGTCCCTTTAAATTTAATTACTTCGTGCAAGATTTACATCGATCATAAGACATAACATCAATGTAGACACGATCCTGAAACTAATCCCTGCTACAGTCTAGCACGAACGGTACCGGCAAACACGAAATAGTTTTCTTCAATTCTTTTCTTACCGATATGTCAATTTTAGACAAAACTTATCACTTTATAAAAGGGTATATAATACGCACGGCGTGTGCCGCACCCTCACGTGCAATTCACCCTCAAGGTCCGCAAAGTATTGTCACCATTCACGGCAATCAAGGTCAGTTTTTGCACATGCTACTTAATTTCTTGTAAACGAGGGTGCATCTAGTCTAACAGTAATCAGTACTAAATCTGTCGATAGATTAGCAATAGATGCACCTGATATGCAATAGTATTTGTTGTATTCAATTGTATTTTATTGTCAAAAATACGTTCGAATATATATCACTTACGCAATTCCAGCCTCCGACTCCTGTGGAAGATGATAGTCATTCCGCGAAGAGTTCTGCGATCAGCGACAACGAGAAACTCCAACCTCAGCCGCCACCCTCCACGCCGACCAAAGCTCGTAACGTCACGTCACCCCCGTCCATCGTGACGCCTCAAGCCGTCCGTAGCGGACTGGCGAAATCACCGGAAGCCACAACGCCCAGAAAGCAACTCGCGCAAGAAACAGACGGTGCAACTCTCGCGAACGGACACGCGTCCAAAACACCCTCGCCAGATGCGCTAAACGGCAAGAACTCGCCGAAGAGCGGTCGGTCGCCGATCTCCCCGCGCCCGCCCAGCAGTCTGCGCATTCGATCCGCCAGCGACAAATCCAATTCCTCTACTCCTAGAAAAGCATCCCCAAACGCACCCAGTAGAACATCATCCCCCGGAACCCCGAGAAAAAGTCCGTCTCCCGGGGAGTTGCGTCTTCCGAAAATCGCGTCTTCGCCGACGCCGCAGGAAGCAAGTCCCGCGGCTCCTCCCGAGACTCACTCAAAGATCACCTTGCCCAAGTTGATCGAGTCGTCTTCTCAAGCCGCTCGGATGGCATATTAGAGCTACTGAATCAAAAGCACGAGCTTCTTAAATAGAAACTTTATCACATGTTCGTGCATGAAATTTTCTAAAATTTAATTCGTTATATAAATGTAATCAAAATTGCGTTGTCGTTTTATTTAAAAAAATAATTAATTGAAGTTTTTTCAGGTCAGTTGAAGAGCTGTAGATGAAAGAAAACATTTAAAACAACTTGTACTTACTTGTACTATCTTACATAAACCTGCGTGCAAGAAAATTCATGAAACCTTGATATAGAAAAATATGATAGAAAAAACTCGTAACTCCCTAAATAGTAAATGTCCTCTTTTTCATTGATGAATATAAGGTTATATCTTCTCATTGTAGAAATAACGTCTATTTTGAATATATATAAAAACTAGATACTAAAAAGTTCGAGACGGAATAAGAACTTGTACTTGGCAAGTTTTTCTATTTTTCCAGTTACATAATCGATAATTCGTATACAATCTCCAATCCCGCATCTTCTGCTACATGGAAGATTGATTTCTAAAGGGAGTTGAAGAAACAAACAAACTATAATTATAATTAGAGTTGTGATCATGATTTTCCGTATTATAAATAATTCTATAGATTTTTCTTGTAATTTCGTTGTTTTTCTAGATGCTCTCTCGTTTAAATATAAAAGTTTTTGTTTTATAAACTAGAGCATTGAAATAATCACCTCGTGTACTGCTTATAAACGCGCCACGCACAACTATAAAAACTAATTAAAATACAGATATATAAACGTTTGAGAAATATGTAGAATATTCGTATTTATCACTAATCTAGATGAGTGGGAGAGATGAGGGAAAGCATGGAAGACGAAAAATGCAAATATAAATATTATATATATGACGTTTACAGAAGTAAAAATATATATGTACATGGTACACATGGTTTGTAGACTATGTATAACTGAACACACTTCTCCAACATATAAAAGTTAAGAGATCCTTTCAAAATTATTTTGCATATATATAATACATTTTTTTCCAATAAAAAGACCTATGAAAATATAACACGCATTATAAAAGTAATATACGTTAATTGGCCGTGTATAAAAAACTACGTTAGTTTTTCTTTGGCAGTGGTGGCGGAACTACTTTAACACCAATGAAATAAGGATGGCTCAGTGCTTTTTTCGCCGTTATCCTCTGATTCGGATCGTACGTTAGCATTTTCTGAAAAAATACACAAAAAATACGTGTTACGAATGTCAATGCGCTTTCGCGAAGTGTTGGACGCGAGATGTAGATTTTCTTCGTTTTTTTGTTTTTCTTTCCTTACCGAAAGCAAATCTTTGGCATGATCGTCGTAAGTAGGCAAAGCGTCGCTCAATTTGTTCGCCTCCCATCTGGGAAATCTGGAAGTGTAGTCTGGAAGTTGCGACACTCCCGGCCAAATTGTTTCGTCCGGCGTGCCGAGCATGCGAAATATTCTAAATAACTGATCTATCTCAGAGTCACCGGGAAAAAGAGCCCGTTTCGTCGCCTATAACGTATTGTCTTCGCAGTAATGTTTACTATTTAATCGCGATATAATAGAAATCGCGTAATACACACGTACCATTTCCGCAAATATACAACCGAGACTCCATATGTCGAGCGCGCAGGTGTACAATTTGGTTCCTAGGAGAACTTCCGGCGCACGGTACCAAAGCGTGACCACCTCATGCGTGTAAGTGCGCACGGGAAGACCGATCATGCGCGCCAGTCCAAAGTCGGCAAGTTTTATGTGACCTTCGCGATCTATCAGTAAATTCTGCGGTTTTAAATCTCTGTGCAATATGCAACGGAGATGACAAAAAGAAATGGCCTGCAGTAATTGATAGAGATAGCTCTGCAACAACAGACAAACCGACAACCGTTCTTAAGGCGAAAACGCGCCAATCAAACAAACGTGCGAGGTGATTCAAGATTTGCTACCTTTACAAGGGCAGGCTCCAAGCCTTCTTTAACTGAGTCCAGCAGCTTTTTCAAATCCTGCTGTAGAAATTCAAAAACAAGGTACAAGTGATTGTCGCCGTCTACGACATCGAACAATTGTATGATGTTTGGATGAGTGAGATCTTTCAGTAACGAAATCTCTCGAATAGCGGTAGATGGAACACCTTCTCTTTCCCTGATTTAAAGAGGGAACATTAATTAATTAAAATCGAAATTGCGAAAAACTGTGAGTTTTTCTAAAATTCCTTTCCAAAAAAGAATTTGAAAATATCACAACTTTTTTTATGTGAAGAAATTTACCTTCTTGATTTGCGCGATAATGTTCTCGTACTGTAGAAACAATTTTTGAAAAATATTAATCTCTTACAAAAAAAAAACAGAATATAATATACACATCAAAATCACATCGGTGGAACAGAAATAAAATTTGGCTTCGACAAAAATGATACAAAAAAACTGTGGTATTCATAATAAAATTGTTTTTTATCCCAAACTAATCCTACTAAAAAAAAAAAAAAACAAATTTGTGTGTCTCATTAAATTAATAATTCACATGTAATTATTATAATCATATAAAATAAAAAATACCAAATTAAAAACCAGGCGAGCATGGCATAATGGGACAAGCTGAATAATGTGGTGCTACGAAAATTAGTGTAACGTGGCGCCTGCAGATTCAGCTGACCCCAATATGCAGGTTGTTAGCAGTGTGTTAGCAGTGTGCACAAGCAAAAGCCCAGCTGATATTAGCAGTTCTGCAACCTGATAATTTTTATAACACATGTAGTAGCCCTATTTAAATTTGGTAAGAGAAAAAAAAATTAGAGTAACAGTACACATCTCATTTGAACATTGTCCAGATTTTATATGTTGATATACTATTAACAAATATCTAAAATTATATTTTCTTATAATTTCATATAAATTTAATTAATACAATACATGTCTTTTCACAAATGACATGGTATGATGAAATTTTCAAAATTAAGTGTTTGATTTCTTGTTAAAATATTAAAAATTAATGTATTTTATATACATACTGTTTATCAGTGAGAAATGTAGAATATTTTATGGAAATGTTATTGTTAAGCATTAAAGAGAGCAGATATTAATGACTATATGAAAATTATAATTCACAAACATTCTGGATTAATAAAAGCTCGTTCTATTATGTTATACATATATATATATATATATATATATATATATATAAGTCTACATATAAATAAATTAAAGAATGTGATGTAAAAAAAATTATAATGTACTTCTCTTTAAAACCAAGTAATTGAATTAAAAATTAGTGTATAACATTAGTTTTATTATATAATTTATAAACACGTATATAATATTCTGTAGTTATCTTCAATCACACATGATTTAAACAGTTAGTTATAAACATATAACATTTCTGTATTACCTGAAACAATAACAATTAACTGAACAAGTAGATAAACTCTCAAACGTCTCAAAATGAAAAAAAAAAGAACGGTGTCAAAATATGCAAAAAATTCTGTAAGTCACCTAACATTGTCTCGAAGGAGAGTGACTGTTTTTTATTTATCTCTTTTTTCCTCCCCCTCCCCTTCCCACGTGTTTTGTTTGCGTACACGAATAGAATAATACTCCAATAATATCGCGTAATGTCAGAAAAATGTAAACTTCGCCAAAACTTTTAAAGTAACGTACGTCTCTAAGCGGATTTTCTTGAGTGCTACCAGCTTCCCGGTCAGTTTATCTCTGGCCTTGTAGACCACCCCGTAAGTTCCCTCTCCTATCTTCTCGATCTTCACAAAGTTGTCCATAACCTCAACGTTGTCACGCTTGCCGTCGTCGTTATTCCGTTGATGTTTTTCCTCGGCCGGAGCCGCCGTATCTTCCTTTACCGACTCCGTTTTCGATACTTGTCGTTTGACCCGTTTTCTCCAGATATCGTGGATATATATCGATTATCGAAAATAATAATCCGGCCTCCTCGACGAGGCCGTTTCTCCACGCTTGTTTATCAACAGCGGCGCAGAACTGAGGATCTAATGGTATGACACACAGAAACGCGCGCGTTAGTAGCCATTTTTATTTTCCGGAGGGGATGTAGAGGAATCGATAGCGCGAATCGATGGATGTTGACTTGCGAGATCGATAGCCGTCAACTCGCACAATCATTCTTTTATTTATGCTAAAAAAAAAACTATGTTTATTTGATTTATCAAAAACAAATAAAAGAAAATTGAGAAAGCATTGATCTGATCTTTTGATAACTTTCTTTCTCCTTTTCTAAATATACGTACGTATGTTGGAAAACACAAATATAATTGAATAAACATTTGAGACATTGTTGTTTTATTTATTTATCACAATACTATACGCAGAGAGAGAGAGAGCTAAAACAATTGCAATTGTTCAGCGCTCGTTTGATACTTTTGTTAATCGTGCAATAGCAAGTGTATGTGTGTGGTTTTTTTCTCTATATATATTTTATATTTTATATAACTATAAATTATTACAACTTCTCGGTGTGTATCTTAACATATTCGTGACTATCGCTCGGAATGTACGAGTATATAGAACTACGAATACTCGAGTTATACGATTTTACTTCTTTTTGTCTCTTCGAGAGACAATGTAAGGACACGAAAAATTGCGATATCTCGAGTTTTCACGCATTTCTACGAGAAACATATCAATGCATATTTGATACGAGGAAGTAAATCGAGTATAATTGTGTAATGTGATTGCCACGCTAAAAGGTACATACATGACATACGCATGGTTTTTTTTTTTCCATCACCGAGATGTTGAGATTTTTGCAATTCTTTTGCACGAGTCAATCTCTTTTTTGATTTCAAGAGATCTTTCATCGCATTACAAGCAGACACAATGTAATTGGCGATCATTTCTCAGGTCTTTTTTTTCCTATAGTTAGCACACAACTCACTCTATAAGTTTATATTGTAGATTCATCGAATTTCTCGATTGTTCTCAGCGCTCTTAGGATACACGTTAGTCGCGAGACTTTTTTCGTTTTTCATCTATTTATACGAATATACATATATCGATTATGATACGTATTTAAGTAAAAATATGTATGTAGGAATTACATACTGTATATAATAATATACGTATGATTGCTTCTCACTCTTTTTGAGAGCTCTGTGTTTCACAAACATGTAAAATATATGTGCACGTTTTTTTCTACCAAAAGCCAGGCAAAGACGCATAAAAATTGGAATGTTCGCGAGATTCGATATTTTCACCGCCTCGCCGCGGAAGATATATCCATAAAGTTATACTTTCTATAATTTATAAAATAACTGGCACTCTCCGAAATCTCTCTTTAACCTTACAAAAAAAAAAAAAAAAAAATCAACCGGTTTGTCAAAATAATAAAAACTAATCATTTACAAAACCATAAAACATTTTTCCGTTTTCCGTCACTTGTGTACCTTTAATTCTAATTGCTAAAAAACTTAATTAAACATTATAAAATATAGTGATAAAAGATTTTTTCAATCTGCCATTCATCGAAGACGATAACTGGAATTTAAATAGCCTCTCAAAATAAAACTTAACATTATTGCACCTACGTGTGATAGAACTAGATTGAAAATATGATAGATTTTCGATAGTATTTAGAATGTGATGTGTGTACAATACATTTTTTCATGCACAATAATTTTATATTTCCTTTGTAAAGGTCTTTACGGTTTTATTGCGCGAATTATCCGCAAAAAAAGACCTGGGAGGATATTAATTTTAAAGAAGTCATTTTTCTTTTACTCAAATATAATTGGACTGTTCGAAAAGTACGTAGCATTTTTTTAATGAAATTTAAAACTTACTCGTGCCGATTCACGTAATTTAATACACGATGCTTCGGTATTTTTAATATCTGCATGATGTCTCGTACATGTCCCGGACATGTTGCCATCTACGATAATGTTTGTTTGAAAACGCTACAAACTTTTCGAACAACTTCATAATTAAAACTCGAGTTGTATACGAAACCAACATAATTAACAAATAACAAAAGATCGTTTCCTCAGGCTATTTAGAATATTTTAATTTCAGCTTTTTACGAATAAATTTCATTATATGGAGCACAATCAAGCGCAGAATCTCAAGCAAAGCACTCGTACTGGAATAGTTTTGGATGAAACTTGAAATATTGCACAGAATAAATCTTCACGGTAAAATCCAATACTTTAAACGATACTTACATCTGTTTAAATAAACGTAAGGAAATAAAAAACTCGTATTTATAATAGTCGCAAGTTTCATCCAAATTGGATATATAAGTTTGTACGAGAACGTTCTTTTCTGCATTATTTTGATTACAATTTCTTATGTAACGTAAGAATGTTTTATATATAGATAGAAAATTTGAAATATAAAACCTAATCTTTTTTCTAGACATAAAAATATTATAAAGTTATTTAAAAAATATTCAAAATGACACGACGATATGACAGAATTTCTTTTGCTCAAGAAGACATAAATTTCTAAATTGATGATGATAGTAAAATAATTATACATATATTATAATGTATATATTATGTTATCTTCTTCACAAGAGAAAAATATGAGTATGATACGATTGTAAATGCTGTTATTACGATAACAACCATTAGACTTTTCTATAAAAAAAAATATAAAAAAGTAATTGTATATATATATATGTATATATATATATTCTACTCATAAATCATCTCAGTTTTTTTTTTAATGGAATAAATATCATGGTATGTGCAAATTGTTGAATTTATAAATGACAATCATGTAACAGACCAAGTTTTTAGTTTCCAGAGGTTATCGTAAAACAATGCAAACGAAATAACAAAACATAAAAACATACTTACGTGAAAGTTTTACCCGTCTCTCTAAACTACAAGGCGCATTGAGGCTTGTTCTGAGTGTTCTAAGTATATGACTAGAGCACACATTTCAAATATTATTTATCTAACTCACTCTAAAACTTATGATTGCCCAGTTGGAAAATGTGTCAGTTACTGTGAGCGTTATGCATGTATAATAATAATAGCCTTTTTTCAGAATTGAAAAATAAAACAATTTAAGCCCTTGTAAATGTTTGGGCAATCAAAAAGTAAAATTAGCTTTGCGCACGTGCGCGCATTTGTCCTCTTCATATTCGAGACACGAAGTAAACAAATAGAAATAAAACTTATTGATTTCGAAAACATATTCTCATCGAAGAATTAATATAAATAATTTTGCCTTGGAAAAACAGCTCTTGCAGCTTTTTCTTCTGGATCTAATTGATTACGATAACGTTTTGCCAAGAAAGCTGCAATCACCTGAAAATTATTTACATTTATAAAGTTCAGAAAAAATTTGAAGTAGAAATACAATCGGAAAGATACAGTACAAAAGTTATCGATATTTACATCCTGTAAATTATTGTTTATGCTTTATCATGAATGAACAATGTGTGAATATCTGATTTGGTAAAGCAACATAAAAAAAAAAAAATATATATATATATATATCAGAAAACCACAACCAATAATATGAAGCCACCCACCATCTGTTAGGAGGATCATATGAAGTGACAGAGGACATGGCGATGGTGTTAGACTAGAGGAAAGCACTAGGATTAGCTCGTGGATCTTTCTGGTTCCTGTAGCGCACGGTCAACCATACACCAACAAACTGTAACCGGGTATACATGTTAACGTCAGTAAAAATGAGAGCATTCTTGTAATCAGTAATCAATGCGAATATGTAATCATATATATGTGTGTGTATACACATATTACATAATTTGTGCTTTGTGCAATTGTGCATATGCGTGATGAATGTTAATGTTATATTTATGAAGATAACTTTACCTCTGTAAAGCTAAAGAATAATCCTATACTGCCACACAGTTTGAAGGCGTAATCAATAGTAGATTGCAATTTATGCATACATGTCGGACAAGGAGGACAAGGCATTAAATTGACATCAGCTGATTGACAGCACACCTTCTGCAAAAGATTTTAATAGTTTATTAAAAGAACCATCACTTTTATCATATGAATTACTTACTTCATGGCAAGATAGAGATGACTGGTCATCAATGGTGCTATTAAATCCACAGCATTTGAAAGTATCTTGAACCTTTTCTCTCAAATCAGTATTTTCAACTTGTTTCCAACCCTGTAAATAATTAATAAATTTTATTTTATGCAAATAAAAATTGCAGTGTCTCTTCAATGTTAAAAGTCTAACCTGTTCTGCTAATTGCTCTTGCTGCTTAGTATTGACAGCGAGACAAGCACAGGCAATGCTGAATTGAATTAAAAACAAGAGGAATAAAATAAGCATGTACTGTAAAATTTAATTAAGGAAAATTATGTTTTCCTGTTAAAATCATAGTAACGCAATAATGATGTAAAAGCTACTGAAACATTTTAATATCTTATCAAAGTATCACTATCAAAGGATCACTGAGATAACTGCAAAGTTAAATCAAACAAATTTGTTTTCTGTATCTACTTGACATTAAAATACAATCAGAGAAGGATACAAAGAACAATAAAACCTGATGATGCTTCACCGCACCAATCAGGCCTAATATAGAAATAAGAAACAGGATCACTCCGCATGCTAAGATGCCCCCAATAATAGGGAGATTTGTAATTAAAGCAGATGCTCTCCCATACACAGCAACTCCTATTAATATAAAGGCAACAACCTGCGGACAAGAGACAACATGAATTAACAAACTTTAACATTTCTATCATGTGTTACAATATAACACATGACAAATGCCAACTAATTTAGTTAACACTTGTGCATAATCGGAATGCTAAATCATCAGCTGTAGATTATGCATAGTTCTCATTTACAACCAATCATTTATTCAGTCATTTATTCAAGTATGTACACATCAACTTCCTTTAAAAATTCTATTAGCACTGCAACCTTTTTATGGTATAAATTCCTAATCTCTAATTATTTGACAAATAACACCGTCATGACGATTACGTCAATTTTCCTTCGCACAATATATGTCACGTATATTGTTCTAATCTGCGGGAACAGAAAGACTCTCGGAGTAGCCAATCAGTCAATATGTATATCCGAAATTAGTCAATCATTGACGTAACTATGCAACGCACGGACACCTCCTTCCATAAACATGGAGCAAGAGAAGGAGAGCCCTGATGATCAGATGGTCGAAAGAGACAGAAACATCGAAAGAAACAAAAAGAGAAAACGTCGATCGACTGAGTTTTTCACTGGGGGAAGTGTTTGAAGATAATGAAATCTACTTACGATATAGAGGATGTTGAGTGCCGTCAGCGCATTTTTGGAGCACGTAAAGCCGCCGCACATCTTTGCCCGCGCCCGTCTAGACTCCCCTGTCGAATTCGCAGCCGCGATCGACCAACGTCGCGGCGATTCGCGACGCAAAACTCTTTGAGCGAGACTTACCGAATCACTGTCGATTTACACGAACCGGCAGATGCAACTTGCGCGCGATTAGCAAATTCGCACACGATTTCAACAACCTCGATGACGTCCCCACGACGGCAGACGACTCGCGACTGCTCCGCGGAGCAGCGCGATGGCGACGATCGATGCGCTCGATAGATTGCAACTATCGCGCGCGAAATATAAACGTCGACGAGTACGCAGTTATGTTACTACACGTATTCGCAGGAAAGTCAGAACAGCTGTTATGTAATTTTTTAAAATGAATTTAGAAAAATTACATCACAATAACTACCCGGAAAATATACAGAAATGAGAAATTAAATTAATTATTTTTTTGAAACATAGAAAAACGATTTATTTGTTTTTTTCTTAATGATAGAAAAATTGACGTTTTTTTTCGAGATCATTATTAAAATTCCTTAACTGCTGACTAATCGAATTTTAAAACTTGAACGCGATTTAAAAGATTATGAATTTTATTAATGTTAATTTATTAAATATAATTATTCTAATTCTTTTTTTGTCGAAATAATGTACAAAAAAGAATGAAAAAAAAGTTCCCTGTCTTGTTTCCTGTTTCAGGTCATAAATACTCGTATGTAAATATTTCTCGCTAGGTTTCATTAGTAACCAAACGTCGTAAATGTGTCACGTCGAAACTCGCATGGATTAAATGTGAACGTTTGGCCTAGATAACGTGTAAACAGTTTCTACGTGCAATTCTGCTATGTTAAATTGCAAGTAAGGCATATTCTATTTTTTTTTGTTTGCCTGCTAGTTTTTTCATCCCTTACAACAAAATCTAGAATTATATACGTGTGATATTGTTGTTTTCTAACATCTTTGTATTTTTTATATTAGTTCTTTAATTATAATAGCATAAATTAATTCTAATGCCATTTTAGATTCTCTGATTATTAAAACATACACAAATCACAATCATATATGTAATATAGCTGTCATGAACATGAAAGGTAAATAAATACGAACATTAAATTTTTAATGGAGATACATGCGTAATTATATATGACCTGTTTTGTGTGTTTGCTCGCGTTGCAATTTTATACTTTATTCATTCTACAAATCTTTAAAACTACATTTTCTCCTGTGTATATATATATATATATATATATATATGTGTGTGTGTGTGTTTTACCGTTATATATTGCTATACTTACTTCTTTATAAATCCGCACATGGAAAGTTTCTTAAGATGCTGTTAGACATTCATAAATTTTGGCATCTAAAATGCGAAATGCACACGTGGCGTATCTTCCGCAAGTTAATTATAAAATATACGAGGTTTTCACGTGCGCGCGTTTTACTTTTTTGTAAAAATTATGTTATTTGTGTTTGCTTACAAAATGCGCTTGCTTATTTTGTGCCAAGATATCAATGTTTCATGGCGCAATAAAGATCGTCATATGTATGCTTAATTAAGAAACGTGACCAAAGTAAGATTTCGTGGAAGAAAGTTTACAAACAGCGAATTAAACAAAGGTTTTGCACAGGAAAAAGTTGTTACATTGTTATGCGCGATGAACATACTTTTTTTTTTTTGACTTGTTATCTCATTGTCAGTCAAGTAACTCTCTCACGAAGAGAATCACGGATTAAAATCGAAAGAAAAGAAGATGAGGATCGGAAAAAAGCGGATAGAAGAAGAAATTAAAAATATTTGACAAGGTAAACAAAATATATAATTGCTTACACAATAAAATAGTCAGATTTTTTTTTGTCATAATTGTAACGCGGAAAAAACAACTTTTCCGAAAAAACAACAATTCCGAAAAACTTAATTTTCTTTACACGTGTAGATGAAACGCAAACAATAATTTACCAAAACAAAATTTTACGAGCAAAAATAACCTCACTTCTCTTGTCACACATTGTTCATTAGTTTCGTCAGCAATTTACAATGATCATTGTCCAGAGTGTGGTCATCGTATCGCCGTTTCGATACTGCAAAGTGATTAATTACCAATATTGTAGCGCGTGCAATATTTGTTATTATTAATCATGGGTGTAGAAACGCGAGCAGAGAAAGACAGTAGTTATATATATATATATACTATTTATATATATATATATATATATATATATATAATTACGCGCACAGAATATTTTCTCATCCATTTATATAAAATTTATATAAAATTTTAATCCTGTTATGTATCTGTATTGAGAATGATGAAAAGAGAGAAATACGTACACACATGATGTACTTTTCTCAATTTCGATGAAATTGTATCCAATTACTATTTAACGCAATTAAATATCATGGAATAATTTAATGATTAATGTATTTGACTCTAATATCGCGATTGTGAATATGTTTGTGTTAGTTGAAATAACAATTGCGTAAGAACAACAAAATTCATCGGAATATTCAGCATAAATGTGTTCAAACGTTGCTGACGAAAAAAGCGAAGGAAAAAAAAAAGAACTGCTGAAAAATTTATTTTTACGAACTTTATATTTGTCGAATCTTATATTTGTCTTATACTATATATAGTTACTGTGTGTTTATTCAACTCGTGTATGTATGTATGCGTGTATGTGATTGTGAAGAATACGTTTTCTTTGTGTATCTTTTATTAGATATGATAATTGGATTGATGTAACATCAGTTGCGTTTTGAAATTGTGCGTAATAGCGATTCGCGCAAAGTGGGATAGATACGCGTCTGAGAGATATCGATATTTGCTTTATCCGTCCTTTTTCTCATTCAGAAAGAACTAAAAGTCGTAATGGATAAACATCCTTGTAAGATCAAGTGGGGATAATGACTTCAGATTCGACACACAAATCGCACACTGATAACGCAACTGCTGATAAAGAGACACGTATAAAATCTACGACGTTATACGCAACTCCGTCACTCAGAAATGTTGTAGAATAACTGGGTGTCGGTGAGGTTTCAGGCGTATCGTCGTCTTTTCTGGTAGCTTTAGACTGTTTCATCGTTATCTCTGTAAGCAATTAAGATAAATTGATTTTACAACTTTTGTGCGCGAAGTAGTACTCCAAATCAGGATATAAATTACTATTTTCATTTATAGACTTTTTAAATATGTAAGAAAGATTGTTGAACACAAATTGATTTATCACACAAATTTTATTATTTATATATATATATATATATATATATATATATATGTATATATATAGACAAAGATCGACTTGTATATAGAATTTATTGTAACGATAATCTTTTGTAGCAAAAGTCTTGAAATTTGAAATGTAACATTATGTAATATTCTGCAAAATAAACATTTTATAATTAACATTCAAGATCTCGTTAACGAGTGATTTTTTAAATAAGAAATCGATCTCTCGACAAGTCTCGAAAATAATGAACACACTGGAGAACACTTTTGAAAATCAGAAGTAACGCTTGAACAGTCTCCGAAAGTCGACGCAGCCGTCAACGAGATCAGGTCATAAATAGATAACGCGTGATATACGCGTCATTAGCGAATTGCGTCGACGAATAATGTTATATATATTTCAAAAAGTAATATGTACACATTTGTTAATTCATATTAAATCTATTTTAGATCTCTCTCTATTTTCTATTAAATCTATTTTATTTGGATAAATTGATTTTTTACTATATGTATATACAATTCCAACCTAATATTATAAATAATTAATCATTTGGTTTCTTTAGTTTTGAATTTCTTCCATATAATATTATGCACGTTTTATCATTTTGACACACGTAAAAATTATCGCTAGCCACTAAGTTGCAAGATATTTTATCATACCGTATGGAAATAACGTATTCCTTCGAAGTCATTGTTAAAAAGTATTAGCGAACTTTCTCACATTATAACACACTCGTGCAATCGTTTATTTTTCAGTCCACTAATAAGAAGAAATAAAGAGATGGAGCAACCACGTGCCAAGCGATTGCTTCAATATATAACAGCTTTCACAGGTAAGATTTGAAATAATTTTAATTTTATCAAGAAGAAGATCGTCTCGTACAAGAAAATTACCAAGTAATTTAAAAAAAAAAAAAGAATAATACAAAACATTATTTATGCATCTACTTGATTTTACTGTTTTCAGCCACCTTGTCATTGGGGACTGCTGGAACTCACATAGGCTGGACGTCACCCATGCTACCAATGCTACAATCATCTAACTCCAGCGCTCCGTTACTTATAACATCGGATGAGGCTTCCTGGATCACTTCGTTTCTTCTTCTCGGCAACGTACCCGGATGTATTCTAGCGGCCTTCATCGTCGATTGGTGCGGAAGAAAAACAACTTTGCTAATAGCCAACATTCCACAGTTCATGGGATACATTCTGATCATCATAGCGTGGAATCCCTATATCCTCTACGCGGCACGTTTGATCAGTGGTATCGGCCAGGGCATGGTATATGTCACTTGTCCGATGTACATCGGCGAGATTGCCGATAAAGAAATCAGAGGCTGCCTCGGTTCTCTCATCAAACTAATGGTGACCTTCGGCGAGCTGTACGCTCACGCGATCGGTCCGTTTGTTTCTTACAAGATGCTCGGCTACTACAATCTGATATTGCCGGTACTGTTTTTTTTCCTCTTCACCTCGATGCCCGAGTCGCCGTACTTTCTACTGATGGTGAGACGCAACGACGACGCAATGAAGAATCTAAAGAGACTGAAAGGCGGCATTTCCAAAGATCAGCTGGAAATGGAAATGGATCAGATAAAGAAAACGGTCGACAACGATCTTAGCAATCGCGGTCACCTGTCGGATATTTTCAAGACGCGCGGCAACAGGCGCGCCATTTTCATCAGTTGCGGCCTGCAATTTGTTCTTCAATGCAGCGGCATTTCTGCGATCGAATCGTACACTCAGGAAATCCTCGAGAAGGGCGACGCGTTTCTACCCGCGAGTGTTTCCGTCATTCTGATGAGCGTGCTCCAACTGATCGCCGGTATCGGAGCGACGCTCCTCGTCGACAAACTCGGCAGACGATCGTTGCTTATGTCCACCACGTTTCTAGGCGGAAGCGCGCTCACGATCGCCGGTGCTTTCTGTTTCTTGAAGTTCAAGCTCGGCATAAACACGACCGGATACGGATGGTTGCTTCACACCTCCGTGATATTCTACGAGCTGATCATCGCTCTCGGATTGAATCCGTTGCCGTACATGATGCTGGGCGAGCTGTTCCCAACGAGCATCAAGGGCGTCGCTGTCTCGATTGCCAATATCCTGGCTTCCTTTCTGGCTTTCTTTGTTTCCAAGATGTACCAGGTGATCGCCGATTACTACGGAGTGTACACGAGCTTCGGCTGGTTCGCCGCCAGTTGCTTCCTCGGCTTGATCTTCATCGCGTTTTACGTACCGGAAACCAAGGGTAAGTCACTGCTGGAGATTCAGGAAGAGCTCAATTGCAAAAAGAAGAATAAGACGAGCGAAAAGAAGAATATCGAGTTACAGATAAGTACGATTGCTTAGATTTAAAAGTAAGAGCGCTTGAAAAAGATTTGCGCAATAACTTTCAAACAATATAGAAATAAATGACTCGCGTTTTCTGTTTTATTGAATATGAAATAGGCAATTTTAATATACCGAACAATTTTTTTGTTTTACTTATAACAATTGGGACGTGTCGATAGTAAACGTCGATCAATAAAGCAGAAAAGTGCGATTTTTATCAATTAGTTATACAATTTATTGTAATATTGTTCTTGTTGAATACGTAGAAATTTATACAAAAGAATTCAAAGTATTCGAAGAATCTCTTGCATTTCAAATGGGGGATCTGTTATAGTAGAAAAATAATTATATTAAGATACTTTATTTGTTGTCTCTTGTAATACGAAACGCTACAAACGTTTGAGACAAAAAGAAATCTATAATTAACGTTCCGAATTCGAAGAGTAAATTCAGATAGAAAATTAATTAATTCAGATAAAAATTAAGTTGCAAAGATTGTTTTTAGTATTTAAGAAAAGGGCTCTTATATTCCATCGAAGAAGGAGCTTCAATATTAAAGTCACGAGTACGAGATCGCTAAAAAAAGCACTTCCCGATCGAGATAACATCGTACGATGTTTGGAAAACCTCGGTGATAATAACATGTTTCGGTTTATGCTTGAATACGCGAAAAAAAAAACACTTGTCAGTTGTGCAAACATCTCGATGTGTCAAGATATGTACGTAAATTCGATTCGCAATTCTCAACCGAATATACGTCTTAATTTAAAAACGTGTTGAAGTAACATTTGCGAGGTAACAATTTTATTCATTTTTTTTTTTTTTTTTTCATTAGCAAACCACATGTGATGCGCAATTCAATCGTTTTTATTTGCGCGCGAATTGAGTGCGCGTTCAGCGAACATGTCAAAACCGCGAGAGAGCAGTTTTCAGTGATTTCCGTCTTTCAAATTAAACACGCTACTCAGAATTGTTGGTTAAAAAAAACATTTCAATTGTCGTGTTCGCTGAAGACTTTTTTTTTTAGATTTATTTATTTCAATCGCGTGTGTAATTTCACTTTTTTTTTTGTTTCTCTTATTTATTTCGTGTTAAAAGTGATCGATCGCGTTATTGCGATATTAACTCGATCGCGGAACGAAGAAAGCGAAGAAATCTCGGCCGAGATACAAATTATTACAGTGTGTCCGATGTTTTTCGAAAAGGCGTTTGAACACACACACAGAGAATCATATCCGTCGCCTTTTCGAAAATCCATCGCGCATCCAGCGTGCGTTGGCAGAGGCCCACTCTCGAAGAGCAATCTATGACCATCTTATTTTCCCTTTTAGGCAGGGTTAAATTGAAGCTTGAGACTGATAGTTTTTAATTAATCGTAAAGTATTTATTTATCGCCGTGAAAAAAACGTGCTCCGAACGGGAACGAAACAACTGCGTGGTTCTTCGTTTTTGGGAGAAACACACACGTGTCACATTTCAATGTTACATCTACTCTCGCGTAACAAGAGATTCTCTTGACACATATATATATATATATATATATGTATTGTATATATATATATATATATATATATTTACCTCGTATCTTAAACACGCCGGGAAAAATCTCTCAGGTGGAATGAACACCGACGAAGGCGCAAAAATAAAAGACGCGTGAAGAAATTTCTCGCAAGTGCTTTAAAAATATATATAACAAAAGAAGAGTCGAGTATTATTAAAATATATAATTGAAATTAAATTAACAAAATGACAAAAAAATATTATAAGAACAAAAGTAGCGAATTCCTGTTCGGCGCGACAGCACGGCGATTAGGAACATCTGTATCATCCCTTTCAGGCAGGGTGCAACACAAACAACGATATAACGCTTACGATTAAACGTTATTAAAGATGTAGCGCGTTTGATTCGCGCGTACCTCGACCGCACGCCTATGGCCCTGAAGCAAGAAGGATTTAGACGAGCACTGTGGCATGACTAACTTTATTTTCCCTTTCAGGCAGGGTGAGACATAAACGTTCTAAGAATAGCTTCGGCGTAGAATATAACTGGCCCGTTATTAGAGTTAAAAAAGAAAGTATTTCACGTTTCGACTCGCGTGTTAGAAAAGAATATCCGGAGAGCGTGCTCGCGTACGTAACACATGTAAGTGGTCGCTCTAATAATAAGCGGATCGTCCGGAAACTGTCAATCTCTGCGGATTGGTTTTTCATAAAATGTCCGCTCGCGACGACATCCCTCGCTTGAATTTCGAAGGGGAGAGTTTTATTTTCACACCGAATCCACTTGTTACGAAGAACGCGAGAAGAAGAGCGCGTTGACTCGTCCTTGACGAGTAAATGGCCCGTGCGAATATGTGACGCGACAACTGTACGAACCGCGCGTGGTTTTGTTTGTAGAAATAATATTCGCGAATACATATACGCACGCGAGTCGGTCATTCGCTTTTATTATTGCGACCGCACGCGTGAGCACGCAAGTACTTAAATAAGATATGTACCTTTATACGTATCATCTTAACTCACACAAGTGTCAAGTATGTTCGCGCTATTGCATGACTCTCTACATACGATATCCCTTTTAGGCAGGGTGAGAAGACTAATAAAGGTTGAATTTACATCGACTGTACAGATTTTTTTCTCTTTACACTGTAGAAGTTTGCAATATACGTTGACAGTAAAGAAAAAAACTCACCACTTTTAAAAGTTTGTCAAACGTCTTTCTGTCTTTTCCCTTCAAGCACAATTCCCCACTTACAGATCCTTTCAAAGAAGAAGAAAAAGAAGACGTCACGATGAGAGAATGCGAAAGGTGAGTAAAGAGACACACGTCACAAACCGGACAACTAGCGTGTATATTTTTTTTCTTTTTGCATCATAATAATCTTGTTATACATAAACGTTATTACAATATAGAAACATAAATTTTTAATATTTCATCTGTTTCTCTCAACATCTCTCTCACAACTTCTCGCTATGATACACACCTCGTGTAGTCGGGATTATTATATTAGTGTTATATAATAAATCTTCCTCCCTACCCCCCTTGGCGTAAAATCTCGTTAACGTGCCCGGGAGATATGCTATCCACGTGACTCTTTTTTGGCCTGAATAAAACACTCAATCGTCTCGCGTACGAGAGCGACAAGATGAAACTTGCATGCAGCCTTTCGTTCCCGCGCTTATCGCGCTTCACGTTTCACCGCCCAATTTTAAACAGCAGATTCACGCTGCGCGCTTATATTTCACCATTGTATTCAAATATCGCGGCAGACATTAGTTTCTTATTCAAGGCGCATTGTCTTGAATTTTGAAGGGGTTAAATACTACGTATATTCGCTTTTTGCCTTGATTAATGAGTAACACGAACGTTTTGGGGTCACTCCAAGCCCCATTGAGAATTTTATAATTGAAGGCTTTAGAGTAAATTTCTACAGCAACGAAACGCACCTCTTTATAAAATTAACAAAATGTTATAATTTCTCTTTTTTATCAGAAGAAAAAAATAAGATCTTGAACTTTTTTTTTAAAGTAAAATATTCATATTTCATATTTAAGTAAAAAATATTCACTTTTAAAGTAAAATATTCATATTTCATATTTAAGTAAAAATATTCACTTGCCAAAAGCTAAAACTGTTTACATTTGTACTCTACTTGAGTGTCTTTGTGTTAAAAAATTCTTGTATGCATTACAGTAGTTTTTACGCGTTTTTTTTTACGCCAAGAGTCTTCCATTTTTCCTCAAAATACTCGAAATGTTCAAACAAACAAACTTTTCTTGAATAAATAATTTGAGCACTTTTGTCAGCGTTTCGCGCAGTGTTTTACATTTTTCTCTCTCGCGTTGCATCGCGACGTAACGAAGCTATGCAAAGTAAGAAGGTAATACGAGACACACACGGGGAGCTATTTTGCTCGACAATCCCGTGCGATCATTGATCGGAGAAACTGTCTGCTTTTATGCACGAATCGAACTTGTCGCTTGCGTAACGAGCCGCGCATTCGACGGGAAAGGAAATGCCCGTTTCTCTTCCGCGGAAACAAAACGCCACACACACAAGCGATCGTACCTCACGTCGGCACTGTGATTGTCGAAGGAAAACCTGCACATATCGTGCACACACACGCAACTCTCGTATCTGGAGCTTAAAACGGTTTAAAGTACACCTTGACGGAAAGAAGCGTCGTCACACGTTGATTGTCACGCGATGCCAAATATTGGTATTCTCGGTGGTATCATAGTGTCGTAAGAAATAAAGACGCGACCAGCGCAAATGTTTCTCTCTCTCTCTCTCTCTCTTTATTTTCAAACCTCGTATGCTACGAAGTTTTTCTAACGTCGCTACACATGTGTGCTCGAGCATTCGTCGATTGCGCTCTCGTGCGATTACGATCTCCTCGATGGAGAAGACTGTTCAGAAAGTCACGAGAGCGCGCGTGTACGCTAACTACCGCTATTTATTACCTCGCTTATTACACGTAAACGAACTCCTCGCGGATTAGGCCAATTGATCTCGCAAGCGTATACGCGAAAGAAATACGCACGCGAAAAAAAAAGATTTGCTAGAACAACAAGAGGAGATCGATTGGTATGCGACCAAAGAGAAAAATTTGCTAAACCTATTAAATTTTTTATTTTGCCAATAAAAAACAAATTTTGTTGATTAAACAAGAAAACATTTTAATAGACTCAACAAATTTTTCTCGCGGGCCATATAATAGCAAAACTTTTTTTTTCTCCGCGCGCCAAAGTTAACTGTGAGAATAAGGCTTGATGTGACAAAAACAATTGCATACGCTATATAATATTTTCTATAGTGGCTCTAAAAGTTAGTCGCTTACGGGTAGAAAAGGGAAATATATAATCTTTATAGAAAAAGGATTTGCTTTTTTTTTTTGTATTTTACGCAACGCAGCGATTTAATTATTGCGCGAATCGCGCATTCGTCGCCGAGTCGGAAAGATTCCGGCGAGAGATCTACGGCCGTGTGTGTGAGTTGCTTCTAAAGACTATGTTTACAAACTTATCAGCGAGATCGGTTGCGTCTTTTTTTTTGTATTTTATCTAAAAAAAAAAATAAAAATAAAAGAAGAAACCAAAAAATCAACGCCCGACGTTCGCCCGAAAGACCGATTATCGTTAATTAACTAATTTACGCTCTTACATACCGCGAAATGATCGACGAATTTGCCGATTGATTGTGCGACGCGAAATTACGTATGTATTAAACTAGACGACGAAATGGTCATTTCTATAACGTGCGATCAAGTTTCGATCGATTGAGTCCGCATCGTCGCAATTCGGTCGTACGTATTGTATAGGCAAAAGCAAAAAGGTTATCAAACGTGATCGGCTTTAAAACGATTTCGAAACAGAATTCTCAGGACGGTTACTTTTAGAATGAAGAGCGAAATGGAACAACGCAGGAGCATTAATTCGGCACAAAGGACAGAGAATTTGTCGAAGATTATAGTTTGAAAGACGTGTTAGGGAAGTTTTTCTTGTCATCGCCTTCTTGTACTCTGGTCGATCTATCGCGCGATGTCGCGCGCGGGTGTACATACACCTTATACACTCGACGTATACGTGTGTTGTTGCTAGTAACAAGTAATCATAAAAATTCTAAATATCCGCCTGTCTGTTTTTAAAACGTTCGATATTCCGCATCGTCCACTTTATTATACGTCGCGGAAATAACATTAGGGACAAGCCGCTATACACATATGCGCATGTTTGCAAACTCCAACCGAGTATTTATAGACGCTCTATCATGTACACATTACTTCAGAAATAGAAAAGTTCATTCTGCATAATTCTCGCGGAGATCCCAAACTACACACACACACACAGCCGAAAATTTTCGAAAAACCGTCTAATTACGGCCTCTAATTAAAATTAGTTTGTACGCGAACACACATATATCGCTCACTCGAACATTCGTGTATATGGCGAAAAAAATTAATGCATGTAAAAAAAACAAATCATAAAGCGTTTTGACACGCTTTGCAATTTTTTTTTTTTTTTTTTTTTGAAGAAGCTAATAAAAGAATAATGTCTATATGTCGAGTCACGCGATAAAATTTATCGCATCGGGTGTCAAGCTTTTTGAAACGAGAAGATGCGATCTTCGCAAAATTCCTAAGGATTTTTCCCTATATCTGAAGCGATACAGAAGTGCCACGAGGGACCTTTGTTGTGCCGAACGTGTTGGTTATTTTTGCCGCATAAGCCGGATCGTACGTAAACGGTGTCCATACATGACGCAGCTATATTTTATCTTATCGATATATCGTTGACCCTCTTTTTTTTTTTCACCGTCACGAAATGTCATCCGTTGTAACGATCTGATATATCAGATTCGATCCGAATGCATCGAATTAAAATAATTTCAGTCACGAACAAAAGCAGATACAATATGTAAAACGATAAAACTTTGCAGCGACGTGAAATTGTGATGTAGAATTGTAAAACTTTCTTTTTTAACGTGTACGATCGAAAGCGATACTTTTTTTTTTGCTTATAAAAATAATGGATTGTCTGCGTATCTGCGAGACCGCAGAATTCCCTCCGTATCGCTGTCAAAAATTATGGACATTATTTAATTCGCAAGCTCGCGAGTTTTACGTTGGCAAATAATATTTTTCATTCCCGTGGAAAATACACTGGCTTCAGAATAAACGTATCGGAAAAAGTTCCTGCTGAATCGCCATCATCGCGGCAAAAAACGTCCGATAAAACTTTTAAGCAATTAGTCACAAAGCGAAATGGGAAATTGCAGCAAGAGAGAGCGGCGGAGCAGAATAAAAAAATACTTGGGTCGTTTTTCGCGTGATAGTGAGAATTGTGTTCTTATGACCGCGCATATACACGAGACGCACATAACACACATTCACACGCATTTTAATAACTGATTATCGTCACTGTGTGTGCATCTTTTCTCTTCTTTCTGAATAAAATTTCATTTTGGCGCAACCTCCATGAGCGTTGTCTGTGACAGTTTATCTTACAATTGACAACAATAATTTTTTTTTTTAGCCTTTATCTGGACTACTCTCTCGACGTGTAACTACAAAACAATTGTTATTTAACGAACGTTCTTTATTTACAATTTTCTACACGCGCAGAAAAAGAAACGGCCGCGGTCGGCGCGCAGAATCGACGAAGCCGAGAAGCCTCGTATGTATCATTGAGCTCGTCCTCTCTCTCTCTCTCTCTCTCTCTCTCTCTCTCTCTCTCTCTCTCTCTCTCT